GAATATCAATTTCAATGTGCTTCGTTCTTTTTTGGAAGATCAGATCCTCAGCTATATGTATAGCAGACCTGTTATCACAATACACTGTAATCGGCAAAGGAATTTTAACACTGAGTTCTTCAAGTAATCCCTTCAACCACTGTATTTCGCAAACAACCATTGCCAGAGCTCTATACTCTGCTTCCAAGAAAGGTCTTGACACACTGGTTTGTTTCTTAGTCTTCCATGTGAGCAATGATCTTCATAGGAAGGTGCAATACCATGTAGCGGACCTTCTTGTGTCTGGACATCTCGCTCAGTCAGAGTCACAGAAACTAGTTGACTTCAGTTCTGCAGACCTACTAAAATGGATCCCCTTCCCTGGTCCACTCTTAAGATACCTTAGGACTCTAAAATCTGCTTGGAGATGCTCTTCATGGGGTTTCTTCTGAAACTGGCATAGTTGTTGTACTGCAAAAGCTAGGTTTGGTCTAGTATGGTAATATAGTGTAATCTTCCTACCAATCTTCTATACTTCTCTGCATCTTCTAGAGGTGTCCCTTTTGTGGCTGAAAGTCTGACTTTATGATCTATTGGTGATTTTGATCCTTTAGACTCTAAGTTTCGAGTCTCCTCTAACAGTTCCTGACAGTATTTCCTTTGGCATACACTAATCTCATATGAAGTTCTATTGATCTCCAAACCTAGAAAATATTGTAAGGGTCCAAGCAATTTGATTTTAAACTCCCTGCTTAGAGCCTTTTTAACTTGATCTATGTTTCTTTGTACATCACTTCCTACTATTATAACATCTACATATACTAGGAATACCACAATTCTGTCTTGTACCCACTTAGTGAATAGGGAGTAATCTAAAGCAGACTGTGCAAATCCATTTCTCAACAGGAAACTTGTCAATTTGGCAAGCCATTCCCTCGATGCCTGCTTCAATCCATATAAGGACTTTTATAATCTGCAAACCATTTTTTGTGAACCATGATCTCCAATTTCCAGACATGATGGTATTTCCATATACACCTCTTCATCTAAATTACCATGTAAGAAGGCGTTTGAGACATCCATCTGTTATAGAGTCCAGTTCTTCATAGCTGCAATAGCCAAGAGTGCTTTCACTGAATTGATTTTGGCCACTGGAGAGAAAGTGTCCATAAAATCAATCTCATAGACTTGTGTATAACCCTTAACAACCAGTCTAGATTTGCACCTTTACAATGAACCATCTGGCTTAAGTTTCATCTTAAACACCCACTTAGTTTTCACAACCCTCTTGTTTGGTGGCAAAGGAACAATATCCCAGGTTTGGTTCTCTTCCAGTGCCCTAAATTCCTCTTTGACATATCTGTTCCAGTGTTCAGATCTCATAGCCTCAGCAAATGTACGTGGTTCCTCAATTGAAATGACACTCAGAGCATATAATCTATCAGCTGTGTTCAGATGATCCACATTAAAAAAATACATGATGCCTTGTAGCTGTTGCAGCCTTTGCAAAAGCTCCAAATTGTAGTGCAGGATTAATGTCACAGCCTGAAGCTTCTTAGGTAACTGATAATTTCTCTTTGGTCTATCTGGAGGGTCATACTCTTGTTGTGGTTCTAGTTCTGGCTCCAAATCAGCTAGAACATCCCCCTCCCCCATCAACAGAGGCTGAGTCAATTGGTGAAGGGGAGACAGGAATAGAACTAAAGGAAGAAGGTGTAGAACTAGGGGAATCAGGAGAGGAAGGAATAGAAGTGGAAGGTGGGGAAGGAGAGTGAGGAATAAGAAGTGATGGTGGTGGTGTAGGATCAGGTGCTGTATGATTAAGGGAAGGATCTTCTGCAGAGAAGTCCTCTTCATGTCTAAAAGGGTAAATGGACTCATAGAAGAATACATCACGGGATACAAAAACTTGATATGTAGCAAGATCAAGTAATTTATAGCCTTTAATACCTGAAGGGATACCTAACAGAATAAATTGCCTGGCTCTAGCAGCAAACGTAGTTCATCCTACTGCAGGTGTGCCAGCATAGACCAGGCATCCAAATACCTTATTGAAACCTGAGGGACCTGGCCACATTCAGGATGTGTTGATGTTTCCTTTCAACACGTGCATCCTATTCTGGGGTATGAACACAAGACATTTGGTGTTTTATACCTTCATACATAAAGTATTCACACATTTTGAATTCCTTCCTTTGATCACTTCTCACTGTTTTAACAGATTTACCAAACTGATTCTTCACTAAATTGCAGAAACCAGCAAGCAAATGACGTGTCACTCTTGTGTTGCATTAAATATACCCAAATAGTTCTCAAACAGTCATCAAACATAGCAAAGAGATAACTATATCCATCATAGGAAGTCACTGATAATGGACCCCAAATGTCTACATGAATCAACTAAAATAACTCAACTGCATTATTGGTGGTAACAGGAAAGGGTAGTCTCTTGTGTTTGGGGAAATGGCAAATGGTTACAATGATCTACTTTAGAATCTGTTACAGTTGGATCAGTTTGATGCAACTGGTTAAGTCTATCATTGCTAGGGTGGCCTAATCTCTAGTGCCACAGATCTACTTTATGAGGATTGAAATTGAAGGTGGAGGCAGCTTGAGTTTGGTCTTTAGATGGGATGGTTGATGGCTGGTTTGGAAGGAGCAGTTGGTAAAAGCCTTTAAGTTCTCTTGCTAAATCAATCGTCTTCTTGCTTAGTAAATCCTGAATTTGGCAAAGATCAGAATGGAAATGTAAGGCTAATGGGAGATCATGGGTTAATCTATTAACTAATATGAGTTTAAATGTAAAACTAGCGACTAGTAGAACATTATAGAGGTGCAATCATGTTGGTAATTTGACTGTACCTATATATATGACTAACTAGGACCCTTGTAGAGTTTGGTAAATGAACAAAAGTTTCCTGAACATTGTGATATTCAGAGAACAGATCAAGTGTGGAAGTAATATGTTCTGAAGTACTAGTGTCTAAGATCCAAAGTCCAAAAGTTTGTTTGGGAATTACACTAGATGCCGAGGAAAGAACATGTTTACCTGCAAAATTGGGAAATGGTGGATAGTGGGACACATAATAGGCTTGATGTGGTAAGGAGGGTGATGTGGGAGGGGATGGAAGTGTGGTTGGTGACACTGGAGTGCTAACACCATAATGCAGTAAGTACCTCACTTTATTCATCTCTTTAGCAATAAACATGGGAGTAGAATGACTTACAATACTTCCCTCGATGTTATAACCAACCTCAGTTGAGGTTTCACTTCCACCATAATTGCTTAGAGAGACTAAGTCTGCAAATTTGGTAACTCCAACTCCATTGCCTTGCTCTTATTCTTTGTTTTTCTTCTTGAGTCTCCAGCATTCTTCCATGTTGTGGTTTGTTCTCTTACAGAACCAACAGAACTTCTTTCCCTGACTCTTATCACTACCTTCAGCTTCCTTACCACCATCAGAATGAACAACCAATGCCACTGTCTGTGACTTCTTTCCACCACTAGCAGTGTTTGCCTTAAGTTCCTGCTCATGCTGTAACAAGTCATCCATTGCATCAGGTACTATTGGCAAGGGTTTCAGCATGAGCAATTGTTTCTTCACACCCTCAAATTCAGGATTGAGACCTCAAAGAAATCTGATGAGATAATCAGTTTCTTGCTTGCGCTTGTAAGCTGTCACTGCATCCCATAATCCTTTGATCAAAGTATAATATTGGGTGATAGTCATACTACCCTGCTTACACTTGTGAATCTCATCTTCCAGATTCGTGAGCCTATTAGCATTTAGCTGCCCAAATCGTCTATAAAGTTCATCCCACAGACACTTGGCACTTTCATGACTCATCACATATCATTTAAACTTATGTAAGGTGCTTCAAGTTGTTGTTGCCCTGATTGCCTGATCTGAAAGTCCCGAATCGAAAATCAGCTGCATCGTTGCTAGTGTTTGAAACAGTACTCTGCCTTCGAGCATCGCCGCCTGTTTGTGGCGAGCTCTGGGCAGCCATCGTGAAACGCTAGCAAGCCTAGATCGGCCGCTCTGATACCATAAGAACTTTGTAGATAGGGTTATAATTTGGTGAAAACCCCACAGCAGCAGCAGTCCAGCTGCTCTGGTTTTTATATATCAGAGAGAACCGTTAAACAGTCTTGTCCCACGTGTCTTTGTCCCATTTCACATTACAAAGGTTAAACAGTATTAATTAACGACTACATAAACTTCATTCTGCTGGAAACGTTTCACAAGTGAAACGTTCTTCTGTTTCTTCGAAACCTCTCCTTGGAGCAATCCTTTCTTCATCTGGATTTCCTCTGCAACTAGAACTCTATTAGTTTGGAATTAGGACAAGGGAGAAATAAAAAAAAATACTACCCCTTTGACCCAACAATAGTGCTTTCTTTCTTTATTACTAACCAGCTCATCAAGCTAGTTGCTGAACTATCATATTATTTCTCAAGACAGCTTTTTTCCAGGGTTGTCTCTTTCTGGTGCATCCCTTCCCAAGAAATGCCACATTTTCCATAATATAACAGAAGAAAAAGCAAACATCTTCTTACCTACTTAGGAGAAGAGCAAATCATTAATTTAGGGAGCAAGGGGATAATGTGGCAGCAGGGGGCAAATTAGGGCAGTGTTGCCAAAGATTTAGTTAGAAAGGGAAAGGGGACACGCAGATGACAAAAACACGGGCCGCTTCATCTCCATTATAAAGTGTATAAACAGAGAATCCTGTGATTGGAGATACGCTTGCTGGACAGTGGACAGTGATGTAACATGGAGACCGATCGAATTTGCAGGCTCCCTCTCTCATCATCATCATCGACTGCTAAAGATATCAATGGAAAGTATCCAACTTTAATTCACCAATGACAGCCAAATTCCAAAGGAGGAACTTGCCAAGCTATGAGAATTCGCACATCATCATCGGCACTGGCCACTTCTTCTTCTAGCTCGGCCATCTGCATCAGTTTATCAACTCTAAGAGATGTCTACGACAGCCTGGACGAGCTTCTCGCCATGGCATCGACTCGAGAAGCTCTGTCTCGCCGGGGATGCGTGGCAGAGGAGGAGCTATTCTTGAATGGATCTATGAAGCTCATAGACACTTGCGAGATCGCTAAGGATGTCATCTCGAGGCTAAGAGAACACGTGGCAGCACTTCAGTCTGCGATCCGCAGGAGAAGGAATGGCGAATCCAGTTTGGAATTTTCTGTTTCTGACTACATTTAGTTGAGGAGGAAGACGAGGAAAGATGCAAGGAAGTTGGTTGCGCAGTTAAAGAAGCAGATAGGCAATCATAATTACAAGGTTCCTGCGGCCGATCTTGATGATGATGAGCACTTTGGTGAAGTCATTAGGGTTCTTAGAGAAGTTAATGCAGCTATCAACTACGTGTTGGGAGCGTTGTTGAGATTCATTACGACGCCGGTGTGTGGCAGGGAGAAATAGAGCAAGTAGAGGATCTGTTATAAACGCGCTGCTACGGATCAGGAAAGCAAGAATATGAAATCAAGAATCGAAAACACGACACACGATTTATGTGGTTCATTAACACGATGTGTGTTAGCTAGTCCACGAGCGAGAGAGAGCCAGTTTCAATATATCGAGGAGATTACATATTACAGAGGAGATGAGAATTATTTATACTTCTCCATGTGGGTCTAAACCTAATCCAATCTGGCAAAGGAAACAGTTACAGACCAGGCCCAGAACCCGACTATAGCGAGACCCCCGACTATTCCAGTCGTAGCGGCTGATAGTCTGATTCAAGTCACATCAACAAATCTCCACGTTGACTTGAATCTTCTTGCTCTGAAAATCTCTGATGTACTCTACTCCTTCTCTCTCTCTCTCTCTCTCTCTCTCTCTCTCTCTCTCTCTCTCTCTCTCTCTCTCTCTCTCTCTCTCTCCCGCCATCAATGCCCCGTAGGGCGGAGTCACTCACTCAAGACATTCAGCAAGTCCAAGCAGTGTTGGAAGTTGCCATGTGGAACCGGCTTCGTGAACATATCAACAAGATTATTTGCGTTTTGTCAAGAAAAGTGATTCGGGCCTAATTGTACACATTTTGTCCCCGTTTTCCTTGGACGTTTGTGACATTTGTTTTCCTAAAAGGGTGGTTTTACGCTAGGTTTCTTGTGTTTTAGCGTGTTTCAGGATCTAACAGGTGAAACCAGCCCCAGGAGTCGAAAGTTGGAAGAAAAGGAGCGAAAACCGAGAAAAGAGGTGATTTCAGACATGTTCACGGTTTCCCTTGGGAGTTCACGGTCTGCTAAAATCTTGAAATGGAAGCAAAAACCGTGAACCGCAAGGCATCTAGAGCATTCTCAGAGGTTACTGAAGCCAGGCGAGTTCACATTCAATAAGATCGTGAACTGGAGCTGTTACCCGTGAACACCAGCAAGTGAAGCGGTGCGTTTTGACGCAACCCTCTGAGTTCACGAACGCGTTCAGGAGTTCACGGCCGTGACTCAAGCCGTGAACCGAGCCCGGTCTCTGTATAAAATGTGAGCGAAAAGGAAGAGAGAGGTGGAGCCCAAGAGTGAGAAAGTGTCTTCTTCTTCAGATTTTAGAGAGAAAAAACGAACCAAGGAAGAAAAAAGGCTAGAGGGAAACCCCCCTTTCAAAGAAGGCTCAATTGAGTTGGGATTTCTTGGGCTTTTAAGCCACCTATCTAGGTTAATGTAGGGAAAACCTCTATCTTGAATTTAATAATTTGGTTAAGCGCGATTAAGTCGTCCAACTATTGGGTTGAGTGAGAGAGTAAGTCAACCCTCGATTGCCTTAACCAAGAGGACTACTTGAGTAGCCTATAATGTATCCCTTGGTTTGGCAATCGAGAGTGTGGTCTACGATCATAGTTGCATTTCCTAGTGGTTCGCAGTCACCTTGCCCATAATTGCATTCACCTAGCGATTCGCATCTCCTAGCGGTTGGCAATCGAGAGTGTGGTCTACGACCATAGTTGCATTTCCTAGCGGTTCGCAGTCACCTATTAATTCGATTTTACGTGCCCTGGTAGTAGTTAGGGGGAAGCGACAACCGAGTGATCCTTCTCACATAGAGCTTTCAAAACCATTTACTTTTGCTTTGCTTTAATTCATTTCTCATACTTTTCAACCAATACCGATTCGCTAGATCATGTTTCAAACAATTGAAGTAGGGGTATAAGGACCGGCCCGGGTTGATATTTAAACATACTTGCCCTATATTGAACCCTACTAAGGTTTATACTTGGGCCTTAGGTGGGAATTAATTGTGATATTCGGGACCAGTCAAACAGCTTCTTCTTTGACTTGTCCCTGTAAATCTCCATACCAAGATCTTCTGAGTAGCTCCAAAATCCTTCATCTCAAACTCATCACTGAGAACCCCCTTTAACTTCTGGATATCAGACTTGACCTCGCAGCTATGAGCATATCATCCACATACAGAACAAGATAGATCATCGAACCATTCTCCACATTGCTGTGATACACAAAACAATCATATGGACTTCTGTTGTAGCCCAGATCAAACATGTATCTATCAAATCTCTTGTACCACTGCTTTGGAGACTGAATAAGTCCATACAAGGACTTCTTCAACTTACCAACGTAGTCTTCTTTTCCTGAAACATGGAATCCTTCTGGCTGATTCATGTAAATTTCTTCCTCCAACTCTCCATGTAGGAAAGTTGTCTTCACATCTAGCTGCTCGAGCTCCAAGTCATAATGTGCCATAGCACCCTGATCGACGTATGTCTGACCACTGGTGAGAAAATCTCAATGTAGTCAACTCATTCCCTCTGCGAGAAGGCTCGTGCAACCACCGAGCTTTAAATTTCATGCCCTCTTCAGAAGTGATTCCTTCCTTCTTCTTGTACATCCACTTGTTTGTAACAATCTTCCTTCCCTGTGGTCATTTAACTAGATCCCAAGTCTGATTCCTGTCATGGGATTCCATCTCATCTCCCATTGCGGAAAGTCACTGATCAGCTTCGCCACCCGGAACAGCTTCTCTATAGGACTGTGGTTCACCTGCATCCACTTCTTGAGCAACCTGAAATGAATAATCTACCATGTCCTCGAAGCCATACCTCTGTGGAGGTAATCCTGCAGTCGCTCTCTTTGGTCTACCGGAAGCTCTAGAGCGTTGAGCTCCTGCACTGGACTATGAAGTTTCTGACTACGCAGAAACATCCTCATGTTGATTTTCTCCACCTTGGTGCTCAAACTCACTCTCATTGAGAGTTTGCAGCTCCACCTGCTTATCAACATTCCTGCTACCTTCAACAACAGTAACCTTCAACTAGAGGTTAAACATAGTCTTCTCATCAAATATCACATTTCTACTAAGTATAAGTCGATGCTTAGAAGGTGACCAGACTCGAAATCCCTTAACTCCAACATCGTAACCCACAAATACACCCTTCTTTGCCCTGGGGTTCAGTTTACCCTCATGCATATGATAATAAACAGGACACTCAAAAACTTTCAGTGAAGAGTAATTAGCAGGCTTACCATACCACACTTCATAAGGAGTCTTACACTCGATACCTGTGTGAGGTCCACGGTTGATCAGGAAGCATGCCATGTTTACTACTTCTGCCCAGAACCTTCTCTCTAGTCCAGCATTAGAGAGCATGCACCGTGCTCTCTCCAACAATGTCTAGTCATCCTTTCTGCAACGCCATTCTGGTGGGGTGTATCTCTAACGGTCCGATGAAGGGAAATCCCTTCATCCTTGTAGAATTCGTTGAACTCAGAATTGCAGAACTCCAGACCATTGTCCGTTTGCAGCTTCTTGATCTTCTTCTTGGTCTGATTCTCCACCAATGTCTTCCACTGCTTGAACTTCGTGAAAGCCTCACTTTTCTGTTTCATCATGAAAATCCAAATAAATCTCGAATAATCATCAATAATAGACAGAAAATACATGCTGCCTCCAATTGATTCAACTTGTTAAGGACCCCAACAGTTGGAGTGGAGGTAATCCAGTATCCCCTTCGTCCGGTGGATACCCTTCTTGGGAAACTTGGTGCGATGTAGCTTACCAGACACACAATGCTCACAGAACTCCAAATTCTGCACCTTGTGCCCGCAAAGAAGATCTCTCTTCGACAGAACTTGCATCCCCCGTTGACTTATATGCCCCAGTCTCATGTGCCAGAGAGTGGTCATATCTTCCTGATGAACCTGAGATGATACAACTACAGCAGAACCTGACAACACATTTCCTTGTAATGCACACAAGGTACCACGTTTCACGCCTTTCAGTACCTTCCTGGGACCCTTGCAGACATACACAACTCCACATTTTTCTTTGAAATTGAAGCCCTTGTTGTCTCGTAGACTCAAGGAGATCGGGTTCTTAGTCATTCGTGGAACATGCCTGACATCATTCACGATACATAATGAACCATCATGTTCCCGAACCTTTATGGACCCGATTCCAACAACCTTGCAGACAACTCCTGTTACAATATGACTTGAATTTGATTGGGTTTGTTTTGTGTTTTAGGCCTATTCTGTTTGGGTTTGGGATTGGGTTTTGTTTTGACCTTTTCCATGTAGGTTTGGAAAAGGTGTTTGGTTTTTTGTTTGGCATTAGGAGAAGAGTTCTATAAATACTCTTCACCACCCTAATTTGTAGTAAGGTCAGTCAAGTTAGTTTGTTTGGTTTGTCCGTTTGGAATTTGGCTTATAACCTGTACTCTCCTCAAATTAGTGAAATTTGTTCTCCTCTGCCCGTGGATTAGCTAGCACACATTGTGTTAGTGAACCACGTTAAATTTGTGTTCGTTTTTGTTGCTTTGGAATATCGATTGCACGCTTCTGTTCTGACAAGTTGTATCAGTGCCTTTGATTGCGGTTTTGGGAATTTGGTGCTAGACAGAAGTTTTGCTTTGTGGATGTAGTTTTCAATTCTTCAGTTTGGTTCGGTGGAGGAATCACTTTGAAGTTGACTTTGGGTAGTTGTGTTTTCGTCTCGTTTGTTTGGTGAGAAGTTTGGTTGGAGTTTGTTTGATAGTAAGAATGGCTGCTATCAGTATGAAGATTGAGAAGTTTATCGGAAGAAACATTTTCAGTTTGTGGCAAATCAAGATGCAAACACTGTTGAAACAACAGGGTTTGTGGGCTCCGTTGTCTGGAAAATCAAAGAAGTAAAGTATAGATGAAGAAGAGTGGATTACTTTGGAGGAGAAAGCTCACTCTACAATCTTGCTTTGTTTGGCTGATGACATCATC